CTGTCCTTGGGCCCCTTCTCTTCTCCATCTACACCTCCTCCCTTGGCCAATTGATACATTCCCATGGCTTCAACTACCATCTCTATGCCGACGACACACAAATCTATCTCTCTACCCCTCACCTCACCCCTTCAGTCTCCACCTGTATCACCTACTGAGCGACATATCGGATTGGATGTCACTCCACTTCCTCAAACTAAATCTTTCCAAAACTGAGCTCCTAGTATTCCCCCCTGCCCGTGCCCCCCCCCCCCGACTTCTCCATCAAGACCATCAACACCACCATCAGTCCCACCCCTCAAGCCAGAGTACTAGGTGTAATCCTAGACTCCAATCTGTCCTTCCAGCCCCAGGTCCAATCGCTGACAAACTCATGTAGACTTCACCTCCGCAACATCTCCAAAATACGTCCATTCCTTACCCCGGAAACCACTAAGCAACTCACTCACTCCCTTATCATATCACGACTTGCTATTGTAACTCCCTCCTCATCGGTTTACCTCACCGCAGGCTATCCCCGCTTCAGTCTATCCTGAATGCTGTGGCCAGACTCATCCGCCTTACTAACACTCCATATCTGCCACCCCTCTCTGCCAATCCCTCCACTGGCTTCCGATTGCCCAATGGATAAAATTCAAAACGCTAACACTGACGTATAAAGCTGTTCATAATACTGCCCCAAACTACATCACTGATCTTGTCTCCAAATACCACCCAAAACGCACACTCCGCTCCTTACAAGACCTCCTACTCTCTAGCTCCCTGGTCTCATCCTCCCATGCTCGTCTCCAGGACTTCTCCAGGGCTTCCCCCATCCTCTGGAACTCCCCACCCCAATCCATCAGACTATCACCTACTCTGCTCACCTTTAGGCGCACCCTGAAAACCCATCTCTTCAGGGAAGCCTACCCCACCCCCTGCTAATTGCCGACCTCCTCCACTCTTCCTATCACTCCATCCCCCACAGCTATTTCCTCCTGTACCACTAGCCCCTCCCTCCTAGATTGTAAGCTCCAAGGAGCAGGGCCCTCGAACCCCTCGTGTATTGTATTGTATTGTTACTGTACTGTCTCGTGTACTGTCTCCCCCCATAATGTAAAGCACTGAGCAAACTGTCGGCGCTATATAAATCCTGTATAATAATAGTAATAATAATAATTTTGGTGCTTGTTTTTGTGCACCACACCACAAGCTCAAAAAACAAAAAAAAACAAAGAGGTTTGCTCTTGTAAGGATTCTTGTGCAGCGGGGAGTCCAGGAATTTGCTCTCCAGGGCTTCCCCCATCCTCTGGAACTCCCCACCCCAATCCATCAGACTATCACCTACTCTGCTCACCTTTAGGCGCACTCTGAAAACCCATCTCTTAAGGGAAGCCTACCCCACCCCCTGCTAATTGCCGACCTCCTCCACTCTTCCCACCACTCCATCCCCCACAGCTATTTCCTCCCGTACCACTATCCCCTCCCTCCTAGATTGTAAGCTCCAAGGAGCAGGGCCCCCGATCCCCTCATGTTTTGAATCGTATTGTTACTGTACTGTCTCGTGTACTGTCTCCCCCCATAATATAAAGCGCTGAGCAAACTGTAGGCGCTATATAAATCCTGTATAATAATAATAATTTTGGTGCTTGTTGTTGTGCACCACACCACAAGCTCAAAAAAAAAAAAAGTGGTTTGCTCTTGTAAGGATTCTTGTGCAGCGGGGAGTCCAGGAATTATGAAGGACCAAACAGGGGCGGACTGACAACTCATGGGGCCCCCCTGGGCAATAGGGGATAATGGGGCCCCTGTGTCCTTGCCCAAACTCAAAAAAGCCTATGAAAAAGGTACCAGGGGCATCTCATGGGGCCCCCTACTGACCCCCGGGCCCTTGGGCAGTGACTGAGTTTCCAAATGGTCAGCTAGTGGAAGACTGGAATTATTACCCGCACCCCGGAGTGGGGGGCCCCGTGGGTCCCATGAGCTGTCAGTCATGGTGTGGGTCCTTGGTGTAATGTAGGTTCTGTGGACCCCCCCCCCGTCCACAGAACCTACATTACACCAAGGACCCACACCATGACTGACAACTCATGGGACCCTGAGCAATAGGGGGTCATGGGGCCCCTATGTCCTTGCCCAAACTCAAAAAAGCCTATGAAAAAGGTACCAGGGGCATCTCATGGGGCCCCCTACTGACCCCGGGCCCTCGGGCAGTGCCCAAGTTTCCAAATGGTCAGTCCGCCCCTGGGACCAAATAACCTTTGTGATTGTTTTTTGTGGTGTGATTTGCACTGAATTTTTCATTCCCAGGGCTGCAGTGACTCAAAGGTCTGGCTGTCTACAGCATTACAGGTCTGTTCATAATTTGAGAAGCCTAGTTTGTCATATATCTTCATCCTAATGAGAAAGTCATTAAGCCTGGGGATTCTAATTAAGGTCACGATGACAGATATTGATTTTTGTTTTACTTTCCCTTCAGAAGTTATGAATGTAATGTACGAAGGTCTGGCTTCCAGCAGAAGGAGGAGGAAGCAACTAATTATCTGACATCTGTCAATTCCAAATACAATATACGGAGTTGATACCACCTAATAAATAGGATAAGGCTGAGTCATTATTCCTGGGTCTACACGTGCCCACACACATTTCAATGTCATTAGTCCTTAATCCGGTATATTTGTTATTTTATTAACCATTTTTCTGTTTTCAATTTATTTATTTTTTTTTAAAGCAGAATCAAAGAGTATGATTGGACAGACTGGACAATGTCAATGTGGTTGCAGCAGATCCGGTGTAAACAATCAATTTGACGACCTTTTAAGGGCATGCGGAAAAATAAAGATTATGAAAAGCAATAACAGTAAAATAATGAATAATAAAAGAAGAACAATTTGCATTTTTTTTCAAGAAACTGTGTGTCTTTGAATTTTTTTTTAGCAAAGTGAGTGCAAGTGTGGCCGGCACAGAAAAAATATCACTCATATGAAGGATCTTTCTTAGAGAAATGTCAGAAGAAAAAGTACGAAAATATTTTTTTGGGTCATTTTCTGTAAACCAAATTATCTTCTTGCGTGTGTTATATTATGGCATTATAATCCAACAGTTGTACATAATGTACATTCCTGTTTCCTGAACCACCTGACCAGGGGCGGACTGATCATTCGAGCACTCGGGCACTGCCCAAGGGCCCGGGGTCAGTAGGGGGCCCCATCAGATGCCCCTGGTACCTATTTCATAGGCTTTTTTGAGTTTGGGCAAAGACACAGGGGCCCCATGATCCCCTATTGCCCGGGGGCCCGATGAGTTGTTAGTCCGCCCCTGCACCTGACAGGGAATGTAACTGTTCCCTGTTCTTCCAACATTACAGGAGAAAATTGTCTGGAGTTCGGTTTTAACTTGTATCTCCTGTGATTGGCCATGTGAGTTCAGATCATGTGACCAAGTACAGGAAACGCATGAGCATTCCCATACAACTCTGCTCTGCCAAGGCAAAGAGGACCAATGTGATCTATTCAGCTGACCTAGAAGAGGGAGAGGTATGGGGAAAAAACAGGAAAGGGAGACTTACATTACAAATGGGAGAGGTAGGTTGACGTATCAGCTGTTACCTGGTTCTGTGTGATTGGCTGGTTGAGACCGAAGACTCACCTCCTGTGTTGGCGGAAGAACACATCATGTCATGAAATATAATGCAGAAAGATAGATACAGATATTTCATTTGGCCTCTTAAATCCGCTATGGTGAGATGATCCTTAGTAGTCTGTGCCCCTCTTTCTTTTCTCTTCCTTTTTCTACCCCTCCCCCCCTCTATTCTCTTTCTCCATTTCCATTTCCCCCATCCCTCTCTCCCCCTCCTCTGTCTTTCTCTGTCATTTTCTCTCTGCACACATCCTTTTCTCTCGCTTCTTTTCTCTCTCTCCTCCATCACTGTATCTCCCCCTTCTCTCTCTCTCTCTCTCTCTCTCTCTCATCTCTCTCCTCATCTCTCGCTTTTTTCCTCTCCTCTCTCCCTCTCCCCCCCCCCTTTTTTTTTCCCCCTCTCTGTTTTTTCTCTCTCCTGCCCAATCTTGCTCTCTCTCCCCCCAACTCTCCCTTCCATCTCTTTCTCTACATCCATCTGCCTCTATCTCCATCCCTCTCTCTCTCTCTTTATTGCCCCCCTCTTCCCTTTTCCCTCCCTTTCCACAATCCTTCTCTCTCTCTCTCTCTGTCTTCCCATCCCCTTATCTATCCTCTCTCTCCCCCATCCCTCTTTCTCTCTTCTTCTTTCCCCCCCTCACAATCTCTTTATCTCACTCCTACTCTTTCCCTCTCTCCATCCCTCTCCCTCTATTCTCTCTCTCTACTCCCCCTCTTTATTTTTCTGCCCCCTCTCTGTCTCTCCCCCATCCTCTCTCTCTTTATCCTCCCCTTCTTTCTCCCTCTCTCTGATTCCCCCCCCCATCCTCCTCTCTCTACTCCCATCTCCTTCCTTCTCTTTCTCTGCATCCATCTCTCCATCCCTCTCTTTTCTCCCTATCTCTCCCCACCTTCTTCCTCCCTCTCTCTCCTTTTCCCTCTCTTCTCACAATCCGTCTCTCTCTCTCTCTCTCTCTCTCTCTCTCTTTCACCCCCCCCCCCTTATCTATCCCTCTCTCCCTCCCCCCTTCTTTTTCTCTCTTCTCTCTCTCCATCCCTCTCCCCACCTTCTTCCTCCCCCTCTCTCCTTTTCCCTCTCTTCTCACAATCCTGATCTCTCTCTCTGTCCTCCCATCCCTCCCATCTTTCCCTTATCTACCCTTCTCTTTCTTTTCTCTCTTCTCTCTCTCTCTCCCTCCCTCTCTCTTCTCTCCCGCTCCGCTCCCCCCCCCCCCCCCCCCAGATTGGGCAGAACTAAGAATTCTAGTTGATGTCTCACCAGTGGAGCCTGTGTGAGAGAGAGAGAGATCATACCTAACTGTCCCCAACCTAACCTTCTAGCAGTATCTTAGAAAAATACAAACAAAACACTATGATAAAGGACTTCACTTGAACAATGTCCTTCACTCCCTCCTGAGTAATAGTACATGACAGGTTCCCCTAAACTCCCTCCTGGGTAATAGTACATGACAGGTTCCCCTAAACTCCCTCCTGAATAATAGTACTTGACAGGTTCCCCTAAACTCCTTCCTGGGTAATAGTACATGACAGGTTCCCCTAAACTCCCTCCTGAATAATAGTACTTGACAGGTTCCCCTAAACTCCTTCCTGGGTAATAGTACATGACAGGTTCCCCTAAACTCCCTCCTGGATAATAGTACATGACAGGTTCCCCTAAACTCCCTCCTGGGTAATAGTACGACAGGTTCCCCTAAACTCCCTCCTGGGTAATAGTACATGACAGGTTCCCCTAAACTCCCTCCTGAATAATAGTACATGACAGGTTCCCCTAAACTCCCTCCTGAATAATAGTACATGACAGGTTCCCCTAAACTCCCTCCTGAATAATAGTACTTGACAGGTTCCCCTAAACTCCCTCCTGAATAATAGTACATGACAGGTTCCCCTAAACTCCCTCCTGAATAATAGTACATGACAGGTTCTCCTAAACTCCCTCCTGAATAATAGTACTTGACAGGTTCCCCTAAACTCCCTCCTGGATAATAGTACATGACAGGTTCCCCTATACTCCCTCCTGGATAATAGTACATGACAGGTTCCCCTATACTCCCTCCTGGATAATAGTACATGACAGGTTCCCCTAAACTCCCTCCTGGGTAATAGTACATGACAGGTTCCCCTAAACTCCCTCCTGGGTAATAGTACATGACAGGTTCCCCTATACTCCCTCCTGGATAATAGTACATGACAGGTTCCCCTAAACTCCCTCCTGGGTAATAGTACATGACAGGTTCCCCTATACTCCCTCCTGGATAATAGTACATGAGAGGTTCCCCTAAATACCAGTGTTGCCCAAACAATGTTACCTCTGATGTGTCTTCAGAGGCCTGGATCTGTTTCTGCTTCTCCTCGATCTTCTGGCGCAGAGTGTTCAGTACCAGCTCCACCACTCCCGGCGAACATTGTACGACCTTCCGAATCACATCGTCTGGGACGGAGAAGTTCAATTTACTCAGAACTTTCCTAATAAGAAAATACAGATGAGTTATCGAGAGCCGTGATCCTAAAACACCCCTGTGACGATCATGTGTCAGACCCCTGACCTTCTCACCAAACTCGTGACCGAAGGACTAGCCAATCTGAAGCCGAGATGTCACGTGCGTAAAAATGCCATGCCCAGCTGCACCCAGCACAACGATTTTCCAGCTAATGGACCACAAATTGATATACCGGCAGCCTGAATGCGATTGTTACTGGGTCAGGATAATTACGCAATTAACCCTTCTCTCTTGCAAAGAGTAAACTCGGCAATATCAGCAATAACACTATGATGGTTGAGATAATCGTCTGTATAGCACTGTCACCGCAGACAGGTTATACAGAGGGATAAACAAACACAGTAGCGCTCTTTTAGAGGCAGGAATTCGTAAGTTGCATTAACGAGCTATAGAAACAGTTCAATACTTTCAGAAAGAAAGATTTATTACTAAAAGGTCAAAAGGGTGCAATAAAAATATTTACAGAGAAAAAGATGTAACCAATATATATATAAATATACAGAGAACAATAGCACAGCAAAGAGGTAACAGAAAGGAGGGTAAAGGGTTAAAGTACTTTCCAATCAGCCTTGGGTTAAGCAGATCAAGTTTCAGAGCAAAAGGGCTCCCAAGTTGGTTTTGATGTTAAATGGAAGAATTCTTCAACTTCTTCTCTTAGGCCTGACAGCCTATTTTGTTGTCACCCAGCAGGGGGTGTCTCTGAAGCCAAGAACGAATGCCTCATTTGGGGAGGGATTGTCTGGGCGGAGACCCAAACTAGAACCAAAATCTCTCATAGCTCATATTTTCCTAGGCACAGGTAACATTCCACCTGCAGGTAGATTAATATGCAGACGCATCTGAGGAACGGTTAGATATGAGATATGAAATACATACTTGAGTGGTTCAGGAGATGTAATTTTCTGCTTTCCTATGTACTCCAGCCAAGGAGAGTGAGATATCAAACTGTTTGTCTTCTCGTGGCCAATCTGAAGATATGCCTGTTTTTTATGTAAGTCTCTCATATTCCAAGAAATGAGGCATAGGAGAAAAATGGATTTTAAAAGTGTTATCTAGTTTCTTACTTGTCTGGAATGTCTTTGAACTCAGGGGAAGGCTTGGGTTATCTTTGTACGAGGTGCTAGATTGCTCAGCTTCCTAGCCAGCCCGGCACCTAGCTCAAAGATGGTTTATAGCTCGGAGCTCTCTGCTGTGCTCTGGCTGGCCTGTGACACTTCCAACACACACACCGACCAAATGTCACTGTGACTCTCAGAGAGGGAGGGGGAGAATGAGGGGAGATATGTTTGTAGAAGATGGATGATCCTTTGCCAAGATGGAGGTTGGAGCCAAAATGGTTGAACCGCGTCCATCTCTGTGTGCATGATTGCTACACCCCCCACTGACATCTGAGCCTGAACCTGATCCCCCGGCTCATTTCTATGTCCCGCATTCCCCTGACATAATTCCCACCTCTGTTTCTGCACATATGGGAGCTTAAGGCTCCCCACCTTCTATTCTTACATTCTCCATAATATTAAATAAATAAGGATGGTGGGAACCCCTTAGTCAAAGCAGGTGTACACACCCAGGAACTCAACACAAGGTTGGTGGGAACCCTTCACAATGGGCGCAGCAAGTGCAGAGACCCAGGAACTCAGCTCAGCGATGGTGGGAACCCCTAAAAATGGGCACAGCAGGTGCAGAGACACAGGAACTCAGCACAGGGATGGTAGGAACCCCTCATAAAGAGCACAGCAGGTGTACAGATCCGGGAACTCAGCACAGGGATGGTGGGAACCCCTCATAATGGGCAAAGCAGGTGCAGAGACCCGGGAACTCCACTCAGGGATGGTGGGAACCCCTCATAATGGGCACAGCGGGTGTACAGACCCAGGAACTCGGCACAGGGATGGTGGAAACCCCCTCATAAAGAGCACAACAGGTGTACAGACGCAAGACTTCAGAAAAGGGATGGTGGAAACCTTTCATGATGGGCACAGCAGGTGTACAGACTGGGGAAACTTAGCACAGGGATTGTGGGAACCCCTCAAACCAGTCACAACAGGAGTGCTCACCAACAGAGTCCCTGAGAGAGGTATCAGGTTCCCAGTGCAATTTCCTAGTTGGTGCTGGCTAGATTGTGGACACCTCTAATTTGTGGGACCAGATCATTAGTATGTGATGTTGACGCCATCAATTACATTGTTCTCTGAAGACTACAAAACCACACCCCTCTATATGGTGGGCAATAGAAGAGGGCAGGGGCGGACTGATCATTCGGGTACTCGGACACTGCCTGAGGGCCCGGGGTCAGTAGGGGGCCCCATGAGATGCCCCTGGTACCTTTTTCATAGGCTTTTTTGAGTTTGGGCAAGGACACAGGGGCCCCATGATCCCCTATTGCCCGGGGGGCCCCATGAGTTGTCAGTCCGCCCCTGCCACACCTCACCTCCACAGATGCATACTTACCTCTGGTATTTGATTACAGTCAGTATTGCATTAGTTATCACTGTCCTGGCTGGGCCGGCTCATCACAGCTTCTTTTAGACTTCTTTGGGATCATCTGTCCTCGTCTCCAACCTTGGAAGCTCCATGGAAGTTGATGGGACTGTAATGAGCAGGGGCAGCTAGCGGGGGAGGGGGGGGGGTAGTTTAGGCAAAAGAGGCAAAAAATGTAAGAAAATTTTATCTTAACCCCTCGCCTACCGGGCACTTCTACCCCCTTCCTGCCCAGGCCAATTTTCAGCTTTCAGCGCTGTCGCACTTTGAATGACAATTGCACGGTCATGCAACGCTGTACACATATGACCTTTTTATAAATTTTTTGAGTCAGATAGACATAGTATTTAATCACCTCTGAGTTTTTTATTTTTTGCTAAACAAACCAAAAACAACTGAAAATTTTGAAGAAAAAAAAATGATTTTTCTTAGTTTTTGTTATAAAATTTTGTAAATACTGTAGGTGATTTTTCTTCTTCACTGATGTGTGCTAATGAGGCTGCAGTGATGGGCACTGATAGGCTGCACTGATAGGCACTGATAGGTGGCACTGCTGAGGAGGCACTGGTAGGTGGCACTGATGGGCATTGACAGGCATCACTGATGGGCACTGAAAAGCAGCACTCATATATGGCACTGATCGGCGGCACTGATAAGTGGCACTGATAGGCGGCACTGACTGGCACTGATAGGCGGCACTGACTGGCACTATTAAGTGGCACTGACTGGCACTGTTAGGCGGCACTGATAGGCAGCACTGACGGGCACTGAGAGGCAGGACTGACTGGCACTGATAGGTGGTACTGATTGGCAGCACTGATAGGTGGCACTGACTGGCATTGATAGGTGGCACTGACTGGCACTGATAGGTGGCACTGAAAGGCAGCTCAGATGGGCACCGATGTGGCATTGATGTGCACTGGTAGGCACTGATATGTGGCATTGATGAGGCACTGATGGGCACTGGCAGGTGGCATTGTTGAGCACTGACAGCTGGCATTGATGGACACTGACAGGTGGCACTGATGGGGTTACATTGATCATCAGTGCTCTGATGATCAGTGCACATGTCCTCTCTGAGGAATGCCGATTACCGGCTCTCCTCTACTCTCCTCTGTCAGCGTGACAGCTCGTGAGGAGAGAAATGCCGATAACCGGCATTTCCCTGTTCACATGCGATCAGCTGTGATTTGACACAGCTGATCACTTGACCGAGTCGACATCTTCGGTTTTTTTCTGTTGATCTGTGATCCACTGTGTCCGAGGGACACAGCTCACCACCGATCGCTGCGCTGCGCGCTCCCGGAGCCGCGCACGCGCGGTTAGAGTGGGAGGACGTCATCTGACATCCTCCCAGAACGAGCGGACCGCCTTGCGTCCGTCATCTCCTTATATGGCGGGTGGAAGGCGGTTAATATTTGGGCGGTGACAAGTATCACATGACCATTGTGATTGACTCTCACAGCAGTCACATGATTTGGAACCCATCCTGCTGGCTCCCAATAGGAAGCCTTGACCAAGAGCTGTTGTCACCAGTTCGGTCAATGTGCTGAAAGTGCGCAGTAAGCATGTCATCATAGGCACCTATGCGCAGCGGCCGGGTGTTTGACCCTACTTCTCTTTCTTTTTCCTCTGGTGAACATCTAACTGTACCTTCTCCTCCCACTCCCTGGATCTACGCTTAACCGCTGAAATCTCAGATAATCAATCCCCTCAGGAAGGCCTTCAGCGCATCCCAAACCATTCCTGGTGGGGACAAGCCCTCATTCCGCTGCAGAAAATCTGACAACTCCCCCAGAATCAACTCAGACTCCGGAAACAGTGTCAACCAAAATGGGTTGACCTTCTGCAGCGGGCGAGAGCGGGAATAGCTCACCTGCAGCCTAACCCAGAAAGTGCCATGGTCAGAGAGAGCTCTGGGCTCATATTTATTTATTTATTTATTTCAGGTACTTATATAGTGCTGTCAATTTACGCAGCGCTTTACATATATATTGTACATTCACATCAGTCCCCGCCCACGAGGAGCGTACAATCTAAGGTTCCTAACTCACATACATATACTAGGGACAATTTAGACAGGAGCCAATTAACCTACCAGCATGTCTTTGGAGTGTGGGAGGAAACCAGAGTACCTGGAGGAAACCCACGCAGGCACAGGGAGAACATGCAAACTCAAGGCAGGTGGTGTCGTGATTGGGATTAGAACCAACGACCCGAGTACTGCCAGGCGGAAGTGCTAACCATTTAGCCACTCTGCTGCCCAGCATCAAACACATATGGCAGGATAATCAAGCTCCCAAGGCCCAAATCTATACATGAAAGCCCATCATGAGTAGCAAGAATAACATTTAGCTGTCAGATACTTCATACGCCACACATCCTGCAGGCCCAGTTCCACCAATAAATTAGCAAATGGGGTAGGCTGAAGGGATAATTGTCTGCCCCTGCCGCTCAGGAGTAATTTATCCAATGTAGGGAGTAAGCAATTGTTATAATCACCCAACGCCAACAGGGGAACATCGGGGGGATTTGCCATAAACTGTGCTATGACATCTGGAGAGTAGGGCGGAAGGATATAAATTGCAGCCACTATGGAGCGAAACCCATTCAAAGTACACAGCAGGAAAACGTACCTGCCCTCCGCATCAATCCACGCCTGCACATGGAGAAACTGGACAGAGTTGGAAATGAGGATACACACAACTCTAGAAAACGTGGAATGGAAAGAATGATATTGTATGGGGAATAAACGGGAGCGGAGGGCGCCGACTGCCAGATATCAAATGGGTTTCCTGCAAGCGTACTGACAACTCCTGGGGCCCCCGGGCAATAAGGGATCATGGGGCCCCTGTGTCCTCGCCCACACTCAAACCACACCCAAAAAAGCCTATGAAAGGTACCAGGGGCATCTCATGGGGCCCCCTACTGGTCAGTCCGCCCCTGCCCCTTCCTTATCAGGCCAATTTTCAGCTTTCAGCGCTGTCGCACTTTGAATGACAATTGCGCGGTCATGCAACATTGTACCCATATGAAATTTTTATAATTTTTTAAACACAAATAGAGCTTTCTTTTGGTGGTATTTACTCGCCGCTGTGTTTTTTAATTTTTGCGCTACAAACAAAAAAAGAGCAAAAGAAATTGAAAAAAAAAGTGTTTCTTTGTTTCTGTTATGAAATTTTGCAAACGTAATTTTTCTCCTTCACTGATGTTAGTTGATGAGGCGGCACTGATAGCAGCACTGATGAGGTGGCACGGATAGGCGGCACGGATAGGCAGCACTGATGAGCTGGCACTGCTGGACACTGACTGACGGGTGGCACTGCTGGGCACTGACTGGTGGCACTGCTGGGCTGCACTGATGAAAAGCACTGGTGGGTGGCACTGGTGGGCACTGATGGGCAGAGGTGGGTGGCACTGATGGACAGAGGTGGGTGGCACTGATGGGCAGAGGTAGGTGGCACTGATGGGCACTTGTGGGCGGCATTGCTGGGCACCAATCATCAGGGCACTGATCATCAGTGCCAATCCCTTGTCTGACAACTGCTGGTTCTCGGCAGTACTTTCCTCACACTGTGACAGTGTGAGGAAAGTGCAGCCGATAACCGGCAATTGCATTTCCCGGTGATCAGTATGTCATTGGACACGGCTGATCACGTGGTAAAAGGCCGCTGTGATTGACCTTTTACATATCACGTGATCAGCTATGTCACGGAGATCGCCGGCGGCGCACAGGAGAGTGCATTCTGGGAGGACGTCATGTGACGTCCTCCCAGAACTGGCTGGCTGCAGTGAAGCCGTAATTTGGCTATCTGTGGTCGGCAAGTGGTTTTCACTACAGGGCAGCACAGTGGCTAAATGGTTAGCACTTCCGCCTGGCAGTACTCGGGTCGTTGGTTTGAATCCCAACCACGGCACCACCTGCCTGGAGCTTGCATGTTCTCCCTGTGCTTGCATGGTTTTCCTCCGGGTACTCCAGTTTCCTCCCGCACTCCAAAGACATGCTGGTAGGTGAATTGGCTCTTGTCTAAATTGTCCCTAGTATGTGTATGTATGAACGTGAGTTAGGGACCTTAGATTGTACGGCCCTTGAGGGTTAGGGACTGATGTGAATGTACAATATATATGTAAAGTGCTGCATAAATTGAAGGCGCTATATAAGTACCTGCAATAAATAAATAATAAATAAATAGGTACATGAAAAAGAGCACCCCATTTAGATTTGTCCCCCATACCCCTCACATTCCAGGATAAAAACATCAATTCCTTATGAGACAATATAAGTATCCTCCTGTGCTCCACAGACTACCTAAATATAGCTAGCTGCTAACATCTAATAAATACTAAATATTGGATGAAGCGCTCTGCTATAATAGTGCTATACACAGAAATATATATATAAAGACAAAAGTGGCTAGTGCTTAATAATATATATGTAAAAAAAAATATATATATATATATATATATAATTAATATAAAACCAGTCTGCCCCCAAGTGGCTAAACTGGTTATACATGTGCACACACAACTAAACAAAAGTGACCAAGTGCTTGATTACATAGTGTCTTCATAAATATAATAAAAATCACAGCGAAAAATCAAAAAGTGCCAAGTGTTTAAATTGCTATCAATATACATGTATTACCATCATGTGCAAAATCATGCTATCACATGAAGATAATACATGTATATTGATTGCAATTTAAACACTTGGCACTTTTTGATTATTCGCTGTGATTTTTATTATATTTATGAAGACACTATGTAATCAAGCACTTGGTCACTTTTGTTTAGTTGTGTGTGCACATGTATAACCAGTTTAGCCACTTGGGGGCAGACTGGTTTTATATTAATTATATATATATATTTTTACACATATATTATTAAGCACTAGTCACTTAGTCTTTATATATATATTTCTGTGTGTATAGCACTATTATAGCAGAGCGCTTCATCCAATATTTAGTATTAATTCCTTATGAGAGACAGACATAATACATATGAAAAAAGTAGGAAGGATAACACAATGGTAGACAGATGTAGCGCCCCTCGAGGGGAGCACAGAGCGGATAGGTAGCAGGAGATACCCAAAGAGCCTACTTCTCTTGCTGCTGCGTATATGAGTAACACAGTTGGCACCAGGGGCGGACTGACCATTCGAGCACTCAGGCACTGCCCGAGGGCCTGGGGTCTGTAGGGGGCCCCATGAGATGCTCCTGGTACCTTTCATTGGCTTTTTCATAGGCTTTTTTGGGTGTGGGCAAGGACATAGGGGCCCAATGATCCCCTATTGCCCGGGGGCCCCATGAGTTGTCAGTCCGCCCCTGGTTGGCACAACATTTACAGGGAAGTAATATGACAGATTGTACTGGAGTCAAACAGGAGAACAAACCTCTTGTAATCAAACACCCTAATGGGCACTCCTTACCAGCCAGTAGATATCAACGATTGGCTGGCTGCTACCAGAAGGGTGGAGAGAAAATTGGCGTTTGTGAGATCAGTAGGTGAGGAGGGCCACTTACCGGTTCAGGATGGTCCAGTTGCTGATCTTCTGTTGGGTGGAGTTGGCTGGGACGTAGTTGTGCATCTCTACCAGCTTAGGAAAATAGAATTTCACCAATTCGGCGCTCAGCACTGGACAGGAAGACAAACACAAAGTATACTATGAGGTGTGTCACTGTATTCCTCTAATCAGGGTGACGGTCCACTTTCAGTCTAAATACTATCACTCTTTAATACAAAACATCAGCTGAAATGAACAAGAGAAAAATAAAATAGCTAATTATTATTAATATTATACAGGATGTACAGTGGAGGAAATGTGTATTTGCTCCCCTGCTGATGCTGAATGTTCGCCCCTCACAAAGTAAACATCGGTCTAAAAATCGAATGTTCGGTGTATTGTAACACTGAGAGACAGAATAGCAACAAATTCAGCAGAAATGCATCTAACAAATGATGACTGATCTGCATGTTCATGAGGGAGATAAGGATTTGATCCCCTTCACAAAACATGACTTAGCAGAGGGACCTTGCGGGCATTGCAGGATTTCAGTCCTTGTCGGCATAGTGTGTTACCAACCTGTGAAGTCAGAACTGCTAAAGTCAGAACAACCCGTGAAGTCAGAACTGCTGAAGTCAGAACAGCCCGTGAAGTCAGAACTCCTGAAGTCAGAACAACCCGTGAAGTCAGAACTGCTGAAGTCAGAACAACCGTGAAGTCAGAACAACCCGTGAAGTCAGAACTGCTGAAGTCAGAACAACCCGTGAAGTCAGAACAACCCGTGAAGTCAGAACTCCTGAAGTCAGAACAACCCGTGAAGTCAGAACTCCTGATTCTTAATACTTTTTTGTAGGTCAGGGATCAGCAAGACAGGTAATTAACAAATTCAGAAGAGGGTCAGCATTTTTTTCAAAGCTTAATTGAACCTTCATTATGTACAGTGAAGGAAATAAGTATTTGATCCCCTGCTGATTTTGAATGTGTTACCAATTGTTTTCTTGGGGACTGTGGTCCCAGCTGCCTGGAGATCATTGACAAGATCCTCACGTGTAGTTCTGGGATGATTCCTCACTGTTCTCATGATCATTGACACTTCACGAGGTGAGATCTTGCATGGTGCACCAGACCTACAGAGACTGACACTTGTTTTGTGTTTCTTCCATTTGTGAATGATTGCACCAATTGTTGTCACCTTCTCACCAAGCTGCTCGGCAATAGTTTGGTAGCCCAGTCCAGCCTTGTGTAGGTCTACAATCTTGTCCCTGACCTCCTTGGACATCTCTTTGGTCTTTGCCATGGTGGAGAGTTTGAATCTGATTGTTTGATTGCTCCTGTGGACAGGTGTCTTTTATACAGGTAACAAAATGAGATTAGCAGCACTCCCTTTAAGAGACTGCTTCTAATCTCAGCTTGTTACCTGTATGAAAGACACCTGGTAGCCAGAAATCCTGCTGAATGATAGGGGATCAAATACTTATTTCCCTCATGAACATGCAGATCAGTCATCATTTGTTAGACATGCACAGGAGCGGACTGACAACTCATGGGGCCCCCAGGCAATAGGGGATCATGGGGCCCCTGTGTCCTTGCCCAAACTCAAAAAAGCCTATGAAAAAGGTACCAGGGGCATCTCATGGGGCCCCCTACTGACCCCGGGCCCTCGGGCAGTGCCCGAGTTTCCAAATGGTCAGTCCACCCCTGGACATGCATTTTTTTGAATATAAAATAAAAAAACAGCTTTTGCTGCAAAATCCACTTTTAATCAGGAGCTCTTTATTCATCCCCGTACTGATCATTGTGCACTGCAATGTTTAAATACGTGTGGATTTCAACCAGGATGGTGCAATACGGCAACGAACATTGTAACTAAATCGCCAACAAACATTGTAACTAAATCGCCAATAAACATTGTAACCTAATCTACTATAGCATACATTGTGAGATGTTTAACCCTTCCCCAGGGGCGGACTGACAACTCATGGGGCCCCCGGGCAATAGGGGATCATGGGGCCCCTATGTCCTTGCCCAAACTCAAAAAAGTCTATGAAAAAGGTACCAGGGACATCTCATGGGGCCCCCTACTGACCCCGGGCCCTCAGGCAGTGCCCGAGTTTCCAAATGGTCAGTCCGCCCCTGCCCTTCCCTACTCTACTAAAAGTGTGTTTTATCTCTGCGCGGTCTCTTCCCTGCAGTACATTTTTCTGCCATTAGATGTCCCTGTTGAAGAGATTTGTCATCATAGACCAGGGGCGGACTGACAACTCATGGGGCCCCCAGGCAAAAGGGGATCATGGGGCCCCTGTATCCTTGCCCACACTCAAAAAAAGCCTATAAAAAGGTACCAGGGGCATTTCATGGGGCCCCCTACTGACTCCGGGCCCTCGGGCAGTGCCCGAGTGCTCGAATGGTCAGTCCGCCCCTGACCAGGCATGTCCAAAGTCCGGCCCGCGGGCCAATTGCGGCCCTTGTTCTGGTTTAATACGGCCCCCCACGGGTAGTTTGGCAATATCTAAAAAGGAGAAAAAAGCGCCTCCAAGTGCAATGTGTGGTACATTTATTGAGGAACATAATGAGAAACACAGAAAGAAAACTAAAGGCTTAGGCATATGCGGTGAAAGTGAAGGACATGGCGGCGTCCTCGGCGTCCTGTGCTTGAGGATCGATTGATTTTGGCTAGGCTATAGTGGAATTTCATCCAATTTCAACCAAACTAAATGGTTAATCCGATTGATTAATCTTCATTTATAATCCATTGTTCACAATTTTTTGGGATTGATAATCTAACGCATTCTCTGTCAATAATCACCCGATGTGATCTTATCATTCGATTTTCAGCATTGTACAATCGTATTGTCACATGTCTGGCCACCCATAGATTGGATTTTTGATCAATCGCAAGTTGTGGAAAAATAGTGCGTGTTGCAGTTTAATCGATGACAAGTCACTTGTATGTGATCGCTCATATTGAAATCAATCACAAATGGGCATTTTTTAGTCGCATCGACTGATCGATCGATCACATTGATACGTGTGTGCGGCCATCTTCACCTGTAACACGTGCGCGGCAGCAATTGGGCTGGCTTTAATGCCTATGTGGCACCAGGCGGCCAATGTTTTCTGTGCTGAGAGCGCACTCACTGCGCAGAGTCCACTGACGATCAGCTGCAGATCATGTGACCTCTGTGACAGCCAACTGCAGTGGTCACATGATCGCCGACCCTTCCCCCCCCACCAACTTTTTAAAGGGACACCAGGAAGGTTAAAGCTAGCGAATCAGAGGGTCACTATGACAGCCAATCGCAGCGGTCACATGATCGATTGCCGACCCTTCCCCTCCCCCCCAAACTTTTTAAAGGGATGCCAGGAAGGGTAAAGGTAGTGAAGTCAAAGGGTCACTAATACGGACAATCATGGTTGTCACATGATCGATCGCCGACTTCTCCCCCAAAACGTTTTAAAGGGACACCAGGAAGGTTAAAGGTAGTGAAGTCAGAGGGTCACCATGACAGCCAATCGCGGTGGCCACACATGATCGTTGACACCTTCCCCCCCAAACTTTTTAAAGGGGCAACAGAAAGGTTAGAGGTAGTGAAGTCAAAGGGTCGCCATGAAGGCCAATCACGGTGGTCACGTGATCGATCACCGACTCTCACCCCCCCCCCCCAAACTTTTTAAAGGGATGCCAGGAAGGTTAAAGATAGTGCATCAGAGGGTCACCATGATGGCCAATCGCGGTGGTCACATGATCACCAACCCCCCCCCGGGCGTTTAGTTACGACAGGAAATTTATAGGTAGTGAATCAGAGGGTCACCATGATGGCCATTCGCGATGGTCTCATGATCGATTGCCGACCCTTCCCCCCCCCCCACCCCCGAACTTTTTAAAGGGACGCCAGGAATGTTAAAGGTAGTGAAGTCAAAGGGTCACGATGACAGCCAATCGCGGTGGTCACGTGATCGATCGCCGACCCTCACCCCCCAAACTTTTTAAAGGGACTCTAGGAAGGGTAAAGGTAGTGTAGTGAAGTCAGAGGGTCACTATGACAGCCATTCGCGATGGTCACATGATCGATCGCCGACCCTCACCCCCCCATCTTTTTAAAGGGACGCCAGGAAGGTAAAAAGGTAGTGAAGTCAGAGAGTCACCATGACTGCCATTTGTGGTGGTCACATGATCGCCAACCCCTTTCCCCCAGGGCATTCAGTTAGGACAGGAAATTTAAAGGTAGTGAATCAGAGGGTCACCTTGACGGCCAATCGTGGTGGTCACATGATGGCCAACCCCCTCCCCCCCAGGGCGTTCGGTTACGACACGAAATTTAAAGGTAGTGAATCAGAGGGTCACCATGACGGCCATTCGCGGTGGTCATATGATCGATCGCCGACCCTCACCCCCCAAAGTTTTTAAAGGGACGCCAGGAACATTAAAGGTAGTGCAGTCAGAGGGTCATCATGCCCGCCAATCGCGGTGGTCACATGATCAATCACCGACCCTCTCCCTCCCCCAACTTTTTAAAGGGATGCCAGGAAGGTTAAAGTTAGTGCATCAGAGAATCACCATGATAGCCAATCACGGTGGTCACATGATTGATTGCCACCGCCGCGTTTTCCCCCCTCAGAACTTTTTAAAGGGACACCAGGAAGGTTAAAGGTAGTGAAGTCAGAGGGTCACCATTACGGCCAACCACGGTTGTCACATGATCGATCACCAACCCTCACCCCCCTGAACTTTTTAATGGGACACCAAGAAGGTTAAAAGGTACACAGGATCACCATGACAGCCAGTCGCGGTGGTCACATGATCGCCACCCTCTCTCCCCTTCCCCCCCCAGGGCGTTCCGTTACGACACGAAAGTTAAAGGTAGCGTTGATGGAGCGTCAACATGGCAGCCAGATGTTAGGCGGCTGAGCCATGCTTTCACCACCCACCTAGCAAGGGCATGCAATCACTCAGGGCTGGACACATACTGCTGCAATAATTAAAAGGTATGTTCCATTGGGGTGGGCGATAGCGACGCCAAAACGCGGCCCATTCAAATGATTGAGTTGGCGCGTCTGCGTTAACTCAGGCGACCTATCGCTTCCTTGTCGCCTGTCAAGCGCACAACAATGGCTGCCACCACCATTCCTTCACGTTTTCAATGCTCTGAGTTGGTTTTACCTGCAAACAACACAGCGGGAGGAAAAAGGAATAAAAAGCAAAAGCAAAGCAGGTGGAGTCATCCTTTAAGGGGGTCAGACCTCCATCGCTGAAGTCGCGGGCGATGTTCCTCTTCGGTCGGGAGAGCGGGATCTTGTCCACCCAGGAGTACAGCTCATGCAGGTTGTGCTCATCGAACTCCTCGGCCATCCTTCCTCCCTCACACAGTCTTCCGCCCTCAGACTCCCAGCTGACATTGTTGTCTCTGTGGTCGCCGTGACAACAGCCTGGGCTCCTGGGAGATGTAGGCCTCAGACTTCTGTTTACATCAACAAACTTTATTAGGATGTGAGGTTCACTGAATGGCTTCCCTCAGCCTGGGTATAGATGGGGGAGAAGTACAAATGAAGAAAAATTCTTAAAGTCTTAGAAAAAAAAGAAAGGTCCTTCGCAAGATTTCGTTTGCTTTTCACATTCGATTTTGGAACAAAAAGACTTTACTGAACGAAAACCTCACTTTCCATCCCACTCCTTCGAAATTTCCCATTACTGCGGTCAAAAACAAACGTCGATTTGACCCCCATTAAGCCCTGGTTCACACTGGAGCGACTTTAGACAGTTTAAAATCGCATGACATGTCACACCGTATTGTCGGCAATGGAACTGTTCAAATAGATTGATTTGAAAAAAAAGTTCCTGCGCTTTTCTTTTTTGTGTTTTCAGGTGCGACTTGCCTAGACACCTGTTGCACAGGTGTCTGCCAAGTCGCAACTGAAGTCGCACAGACATTGCTTCTATGAAATTGCGCAACTTCGAAGTTGGATCCAGCACGATCCAGGGCTTAGGCTGCTTTCACACTGTACCAACGCAAAAACGCTGTAAAAAGGCGTATGTGTTTTTTCCACGTTTTTGGTGCGTTTTCCAGGCGCCTAATACCCAGCACACACCTGTGAAACTTGTGATTTTTTTGTTACATGTTTTTGGCGTGTTTTCTCTTTATTTTGATGGGGAACATTTTTGGTTTTGAAAACCACACACAAAAAATATGCAGCTTGAAGGACTTTTTAAAACGCAGCGCACCCGCTGCACAGTTGCCTGAAGAGTCCTATAGGTTTTGAAGGGATTGTGTCTTTGCTGTTTTTTGGCGCTGTAAAAACGCATCAGTTTTATGCAAGTAGCCTCAGAATTCTTTTTAATTTTACCCATCTGTGGCTGGCTTTACTTTCATATTAAAGTCTTATGCGCACAGGGGTTATAAAAACCCACCACTTGTACAGACATTGGCTTTTTTTTGCCTAAAAACGAACCTCTAGGTAAGCCTAGGCATCCAGGCACACATACACCATATTGCCAAAAGTATTGGTCGGCCGGCCTTTCCACACACATGACCTTTAATGGCCCCCCCAGTCTTAGTCCGTAGGGTTCAATATTGAGTTGGCCCCGCCCTTTGCAGCTATAAGAGCTTCAACTCTTCTGGGAAGGCCGTCCACAAGGTTTAGGAGGGTGTCTATGGGAAGGTTGGACCATTCTTCCAGAAGCACATTTGTCAGGTCAGGCACTGATGTCGGGGGAGGAGGCCTGGCTCGCAGTCTCCACTCTAATTCATCCCAAACGTGTTCTATGGGGTTGAGGTCAGGACTCTGTGCAGGACAGTCAAGTTCCTCCACCCCAAACTGGCTCCTCCATGTCTTTATGGACCTTGCTTTGTGCACTGGTGTGCAGTCATGTTGGAACAGGAAGGGGCCATCCCCAAACTCTTCCTACAAAGTTGGGAGCATGAAATCGTCCAAAATGTCGCCTTAAGAGTTCCCTTCACTGGAACTAGGGGGCCAAGCCCAACCCCTGGAAAAACAGCCCCACACCATAATCCCCCTCTACCAAAAACTTTACACTTGGCACAATGCAGTCAGACAAGTACCGTTCTCCTGGCATCTGCCAAACCCAGACACGTCCATCGGATTGCCAGACAGAGAAGCGTGATTGGTCATTCCAGAGAACACATCTCCACTGCTCTAGAGTCCAGTGGCGGCGTGCTTTACACCACGGCATCCGACGCTTTGCATTGCACTTGGTGATGTAAGGCTTGGGTGCAGCTCCTCGGCTATGGAAACCCATTCCATGAAGCTCTCTACGCACTGTTGTTGGGCTCATCTGAAGGCCACACCAAGTTTGGAGGTCTTTAGCTATTGACTCTGCAGACAGTTGGGGACTTCTGCGCACTGTGCGCTTCAGCATGCGCTGACCCCGCCCTGTCATGTGACGTGGCCTACCACTTGGTGGCTGAGTGGCTGTTGTTCCCAGTTGCTTCCACTTTATTATAATCCCACTAACAGTTGAGCGTGGAATATTTAGTAGCCAGGAAATGTCCCGGATGGACTTATTGCACAGGTGGCCACCTATCACGGGACCACGCTTGGAGTCACTGAGCTCCTGAGAGCGACCCATTCTTTCACCAATGTTTGTAGAAGCAGTCTGCATGCCTAGGGGCTTGATTGTATACACCTGTGTCCATGGAGGGGATTGGAACACCTGAATCACATGATTTGGAGGGCGGGAACAATACTTTTGGCAATATTGTTTAGCTTTTTACAGGCATAATAGTCACCGGTCACACCGCTGCGATTTAAAATTGTGCGATTTGTGTGCAATTTCAGCATGATTTTAGGTGTGATTTCTGAAGACTTTATTGCTACTTGTGAATACTTTTCAAAGATTTTTTGCAATGCAATTTCCATTATATTCCATATATGTGAAATCGCAACAAAAATGTAGAAAAATTAATGCATGAACTACTTTAGAAATCACGCTGCAGAAAATCGCACGTTAAGACACCAACATTCACATTCGTTAGATGTGATTTCAGTGCGATCGGGCACTTACACCCCAGTGACATCAAACCCGATCTTGAAATCGTACGACTTAAAGTGAAGTTCCTGGACCGCGCTTTGTGCGTACTTGCAGGGCCGCGCTGTGGCGAGATCTGTCACCAGCCATGTACCTTGGACATGGCCGAAGACAGATCTGTGTACTGCCCGTTGCCAGTACCATGTGACCTGCTGTGACCAATCACAGCAGGTCACATGACAGTTGTATACAATGGATGGCTTTCTTTCATGCCATCCATTGTATACTAGTGTGTCTAGCTGTGAATGGTCACAGCGATCACATGCACAGGCTGGGCCAATCACAGTCCATCTGTGTCATGTGATTAGCCGTGGCTAATCACAGCTAATCACAACAAAAAAAAAACCCTGAATGCATCAATTTCATTCAGTTAAATGCTTGCTTATAGCAAAGAAATTCTTTGCTATGAGCAATCCAATTGTGTAAAAAAAAATAAAAAAATAAATACTGATCACTTACCCAAAGTAGTACAATGTTACTACTTTGGTCATAGTGCACAACTATGAAAATTTTTTTTTTTTTGAAAAAGATAAAAAAATTTAATAAAAAAAAATTATAAAATAAAAAAAAAATTGTCATTTTTGTTTTTTTCATGCTGTCACCAGTCAGTGTCCCTGATCACCGCCACACCAGTTATATGATGACGCTGTACTGCACTGGTGACAGTATGTAAAAGAAAATTGTGAAAATATTATTTTTAATTTCTTAATTTTCCGAAAAAAAATGATGACAATAAAATTACAACTTCAAAAAACTCGCCTTTCCTCTTATGAAATACATCAGACTGTCTCCTTTGCCAAAAGGGGCGATTTGGGGGATATCCGTACTGTCCTGCCATTTGGGGGATATCTGTACTGTCCTGACATTTGGGGATATCTGTCCTGTTCTGACATTTGGGGGATATCTGTACTGTCCTGACATTTGGGGGATATCTGTACTGTACTGACATTTGGGGGATATCTGTACCGTCCTGACATTTGGGGGATATCTGTACTGTTCTGACATTTGGGGGATATCTGTACTGTTCTGACATTTGGGGGATATCTGTACCGTTCTGACATTTGGGGGATATCTGTACTGTTCTGACATTTGGGGGATATCTGTACCGTCCTGACATTTGGGGAATATCTGTACTGTCCTGACATTTGGGGGATATCTGTACTGTCCTGACATTTGGGGATATCTGTACTGTTCTGACATTTGGGGGATATCTGTACTGTCCTGACATTTGGGGGATATCTGCACTGTTCTGACATTTGGGGGATATCTGTACTGTCCTGACATTTGGGGGGATAGCTGTACCGTCCTGACATTTGGGGGATATTTGTACTGTCCTGACATTTGGGGGATATCTGCACTGTTCTGACATTTGGGGGATATCTGTACTGTCCTGACATTTGGGGGGATAGCTGTACCGTCCTGACATTTGGGGGATATTTGTACTGTCCTGACATTTGGGGGATATCTGTACTGTCCTGACATTTGGGATATCTGTACCGTTCTGACATTTGGGGGATATCTGTACTGTGCTGACATTTGGGGATATCTGTACTGTTCTGACATTTGGGGGATATCTGTACTGTCCTGACATTTGAGGGATATCTGTACTGTTCTGACATTTGGGGGATATCTGTCCTGTTCTGACATTTGGGGGATATCTGTACTGTTCTGACATTTGGGGGATATCTGTACTGTTCTGACATTTGGGGGATATCTGTACTGTCCTGACATTTGGGGGGATATCTGTACTGTTCTGACATTTGGGGGATATCTGTACTGTCCTAACATTTGGGGGATATCTGTACCGTCCTGACATTTGGGGGATATCTGTACTGTCCTGACATTTGGGGGATATCTGCACTGTTCTGACATTTGGGGGATATCTGTACTGTCCTGACATTTGGGGGGATAGCTGTACCGTCCTGACATTTGGGGGATATCTGTACTGTCCTGACATTTGGGGGATATCTGTACTGTCCTGACATTTGGGGATATCTGTACCGTTCTGACATTTGGGGGATATCTGTACTGTGCTGACATTTGGGGATATCTGTACTGTTCTGACATTTGGGGGATATCTGTACTGTCCTGACATTTGAGGGATATCTGTACTGTTCTGACATTTGGGGGATATCTGTCCTGTTCTGACATTTGGGGGATATCTGTACTGTTCTGACATTTGGGGGATATCTGTACTGTTCTGACATTTGGGGGATATCTGTACTGTCCTGACATTTGGGGGGATATCTGTACTGTTCTGACATTTGGGGGATATCTGTACTGTCCTGACATTTGGGGGATATCTG